AGAGCATATACAGTCAATTCAAGGCAGACTGAGTGCTTCTATCTACGACTGTTATTGGTTAATGTCACCGGTCCATTGTAATTTCAGGATATACGCAAAGCGAATGGACAACAATAGTCAACGTTTAAAGATGCATGTAAAATAAAAAAATAAAAAAATAAATGGCAGGCATTTTCTAATTTTTATATGCCGTCATCGTCCATAGAACTCCATTCCTCTTTCAAAAATAGACACCATCCCAATATACTTACAATAAGTTAGTTTTATTTTATATGTTAGAAAATATGTACAAGTACTTATGATCTGAATATAAGTTTTAACTAAAAGTTTGTGTTTTGTAAGAACCGTGGTACTCGTTTCAGTTTCTGATTGTGCTGGGAATACGCGCTCCGCAATTCTGAGGATTTCCACTTTACCACCCGGTACTATGAGGATTCCCACTTTTCCGCTCGCTGTACGGAAAAACGTAGCTTTCCAGCACTTCAACCGCGGTCGAAAACCAAATTTTCGACGCAGGCGTAAAAAAAAAAAAAAATAGTAAATGTGGCTCACTCGAGAAGACAATTTCAGTGTTGGGCAAAAAGCAACCCTCGCATGCGGATCGTGTCGCACACGTGACCCTCAACTTAAATACCTTAATCTACTTAGCTAACCTACTTCTCGCCGTCGCCACACAATATACAATTTTTTATCCATTTTATACGCGGTCGTACAGTAAAATATTCACGTTCACATGGCCCAATTGATACTTAGTTATAGGTAATTATAAGTACTTACTTATTGATACTTTAATAGAAATAAAGATGAATCCTCATAATAAAAAAAAGGGAAAAAAGTTGAGTTCAGTGTAGCCATTTAGGTATATTATTGTTTTAATAATAAATTATAATTAGTAGTTAATATTACTTTTCTTTATTCAATTGGGTATTTGTGAGTTTAAAAATATAGATTTCTCATTATTACCGTAAAAAAAGTAATATTACTAGTAATTTACCCGAGCAAGTCACCTAAAAATAAATTACCGGTAACCGTACGACACTACACTACGTACGTCTCCTACTTATCGGGACGTAGCAACGAAATGCGATAATAAAAGTGTACCGTTAAAAGATTAAATTTCCTTGTGATCGTTTTTGTTTCCTCTTTCACACCGGCACTACCGATAGTACGCACTATTTGTGCACACGTTCCGCACCCCCGGCTCGCGATCCCCGAAGTCCGCGGTGGAAGGGAGGGACTAATCACCCATGATGGGCCGTCGCCGAGGCTTAACGACCGAGCACGCATTTGACGGCGGCGCGAAGCCACGTTTCCCCCGGCCCTTTGGCGGCGACTGCATCGGGCGCGCACTTTAACTCCGGGCGGCCGGCGACGAGGTCGGCGGAACAGCGCACGTGTGTTAAGCGAACTCGTGAAACGGCATCACGTACTGCTGCCCTCCGCCCCGTCCCCTTCGGTGCGCGGACACGATTATTATACGCGCGCCCGTGTACGTGAGCACCCGGGGACTTAAATCCCGTAATACCGGTGACGAAACGATTAGGTTCGCCTCACCGACACGCGTTTCAAGCCGCGTCCGGACGCTCGATGGCCAAAATCTACCGGCAAGAATTTATTCCGTCCCTATTTTCCCACAGTTTCCGATCGGTCGTCCCTCGTTTTGTTTTTTTTATCCTTTCTAGCAATCGTCTTCGGAAACCCGACCAGCTTACTGCGACGCATACAGTTATTGTGTATTTTAATTTCGTCACGTGGTTCTTTTCGCTTTAATTTTTTTTCGGAAAATCCGTAACTATTCCGGACTGAAACGTATAAACGTATGTATAAATAAAACGTTTTAACTAGATTACAATATTCATATTAGCCCATTTATGTAAATTAATGTATAAAACTATTCACTAACACGTATTTAAATAACAATAAAAATACTATAAGCTTGTGTCCAGATAAGCAAAACGAGTCCATTCATCGTCCAACTTTTTTTTTTCGTACTCTCATTGTGTACCGTAGTTATTTTCTGTAATATATTTTATGTAAGCATTTCTGTTTGTCTGAATTTTTTATTATATTTTAGTCCCAAAACCACGATTATGTCTATCATTATGACCATAAACCATTCATGTTTGTCAGTATTTAGCACAACTAACGAAACTCCCAGATATCAAGCATGTATAATCGATAGAACACAATTTTGGCTAACATAGGCTGGACACTGATAAGTAATAATATAATATACGTACGTCATATTTACGATTGGATAATGTAAACACCAGCAGGATAGTGTCATATTAACCAAACGTCAATGACACATTCTCAGTTATTACTATTAAAAGCTGCTAAATATTAAAAATTATCAGATTTTGTTACATTGAAAGCTATTAAAGTTTTGAAATAAATACTGTTGTACAATATCTTGATACTTTCCATTTACATATTTTACATTATATTATATTATATTATAATTATTATCAAAAGCATGCATAACTTATACTAGTTATAAAATAAATTATAAATATTTTATCATATAATTTCTCACTATATGCATTGTTGTACGCACAAAGATATATTATTCTATTATCATACATATGTTTTCACACAAAATCCCCTGAAATTTTATACTGCATAGAACACATAGTTTACAATTAACACTATCCATACCTTTTGAACTCGATCGAGTAAGTAATTCGAATGATGACTTGGATATACGTAAACATAATATCTTATTATGGGACATTAGAGACATTGGCTAAGAACTAATAGTGTACTGCCAAACTTGTGTTCAATCGACTGAACTTCAAATATCACATTTACCGGGTCACCTATCGGCATCTATTACACCAACTTTGATAGATCCTACTATTATACTCAAAATATATTTTAATTGAACTTCATTAAACCACGAAGTAAATATAAATACAATACAAGTAAACTTGGCCAAATAACAGCTCTCTAGAGGTTTTTCGTTAATGTCAAGAGAAACCTCTCCGGAGAGTTAAATGTTTTGCTACAAACGTATAGTCCTATAAACGACTGAATTAATGCTGTATATTATAGGTTATCGTACATTACTTTAGAGAATAAAACAAAAAATAATAATATTATACGTTATTATTTAGGCGAAAAATAATATATTATATTTTCCCATATTATGTAAAAATAGTTACAATTATAATTATATGAAAATATTTGAATGAAACACTCAAATCAAATTTTTGGAAACTAATATAGACACAGAAACAATAATTAAGTAAAATTTTTAATACAATGTAATATAATAATAATATGCTCATGCTGGTCGAAGTCACTTAATAACTATTTTCTTGAAGAACAGAGATATTTTTCACGAGCCTGTTCAAATTAAATATGGTGTCATACAACTTAAGAAATATAAACAAAATTGTAAGTTAAGATTTTATTTGTTTTTCAAATATAGTTAAAATATCCATCAAAAGCTTAATTTTTTTATCATATTTCAAGACTTTGTTCCAAAAATGTAAATTATTTTTATCTAATAATCATACTTTATCAATCCGACACGTATATATCGAGTGTTTAAAAGAAACTTTTAAAATTTGACAAAAAGAATTGACTTTTTCAAAACTTTAAGTTATATTTCTGTTAGACAAGGTATAGAAATAAAACGTAAAGTGCAATATTTTTATAGCCAGTTAAAAATCTATCCGAGTACTGATGACATTGACTGATTATTAATATTATATATTACGAGTATGCCATAAATATTTTAAATAAAAAAACAAAAACGTTATTTTAAACTTGGACTATTACACATGAGCGTATACTATGAAACAGTTTTATATTATTTTATAATATTACTCATAAAGAAAAATTCACGAAGATGGGATGAACTAAACTGACCTAACCTAACTCGGCGATATCATACATAAAGTCTACTTTTAAAAATCTCCAACATAGATTTTAAAATAAAAGTATTCGTTATTAATGAAGTTATGATTTTATTATTATAGTATAAATTAATTTTATGTCATATAATATAATTATTTGTAGAAATAAATGTATCCATTATAAAAAGTCAAATTAGAAGTTTAAATCTGACTGCAAACTCCTGATTCTTTTGAATAAAATATAAAATATTACTTTAAAAATAAAAAATAAAATTTAATTTTCTAAATAAATCTAAAATATGGATGGTATGCAAGTACTGAAATAAAATACTACATGTAACTGTCCTCTCATCATTTTTTACGAAAAAAAAAAAAATATAAATGTATTAAATTATATAAAATAAAACCAATATTTATTATATTCACATGATATATTTTGCATCACTAGTGTGACAATAATAATTCAAATATTTAATTAACATTTTGATTACTATAAATAAAATTTGATAATATACATAATTACGTAATTTTAATAATACCCAAAGAAACGTGATTTAGTGAAATATATGTATATTTTTACATGCAAAATGTGTGTTATTTTAATGTAATCTGATTCATAACTAAAGAGTTATATTAATTTATACAACCATTAAATCTTATTTTCATAGAAATTTACAAATTATTTGGGATACAATGTTCAATTATTTATTATTATGGTTGTGATATACGGTATATCATATGCCTAATAAACCAACGTTCTAGAAATTCTCCCATTGCCAATATTTTATACAATAAAATAATATTAATTTAATAAAATACAAAAACAATACACTAAATAGTTTAATTATTATCTAAAAATGTAACCGAACATTGTGCATATTATACTTTTATTGATACTAAAATAAGTATTAAGCTAGGGAAATATTTGTTTTTAAATTTAAAAAGAAAAATTTGGCAAAATGGTCCACAAGATAATGTGCGTAAAAATATTAAAATCACGGTACTGAACAGGTACACATTTTGTATTCAGTTGAATAATTATGTATTAAAATATCTTCTTACATGATATGGCATGCTGAGCATACAGACACTGAGATTATTGTGGTATCCTCCAATTAATCGTTGGTATCATTTCAGGAGATAAACTATGACTCAGCCAGAGGAGGAGTGAGTGTGATCACGGAAAAAGGCGAAGTAACCACTAGTTATCTGCTTGTACAAAGAGCGACCAGCACAGATTCAGGAAAATACACGTGTCACCCAAGCAACGCAAATCCCCACACAGTCGTTGTACATGTTCTCAATGGTAATTTTGATTTGATTAACAGTTCGTTAACTTTAAAATGCCTATCATTATATTAAATCCTCTCTAGGTTGTACCGAGGTAATATAGTTATAGTTATATCTTGTTATATCTAATTATATTTATAGATAACATACATATAGTTTTGACATTGAATATAACTACTAACCAAATTAATCGATTTATAACGATATAATATCATTTATAAATTTAACTATTTGTTGTTACAACAAAATTAAAAACTTGATTTTTAAATTATTTAGAAGTATATAAAAGTATGCTTTAATTTTTTTTTTTTATTTATTTGAAAATTTACAATCTGTATTAACAAAACACAATGAGTAAATGTGATAATATGTACAACACAATATAATATAAAGACAGAGTGACAGGATAAGGGAGACCATCCAGTGATAGAACCCTTCAAAAATACTTTCATTAAAAAGTTAGTTATTTGTTTGAAATTTATAATAATTATTTTATTTTCCAACTCATTAACATATTTACGTGGTTAAAAAAATTATCAAAGAACAATATTTTAATAGTCAAATTATTTTATTATTAATAAATGGTAATTTAACGTTTATTTACAATAATATAACTATTTTGAATTTCGATGATATCGTAATTATTTTCAATACACCATTTTAATACTACCAAAATACAAAAGTTACTTTCAAAATATGGAATAATTATAAATAATCAAGACCAAATCTACATAATAATGAGTTATTTAAAATAATGACATACTAACATTAATAAATTATAATAATGATTATATATATCACAAATTTTATTCTGATGTTTTTTAATGTTTTTTATAAAATATGATTTTTTAAATATTTTCTTTGAATCAAAATGGTTTATGATATTTGATTACAATGTTCAGTATAGATACGTTGGAGTACTATGAATTATTAAAATATTTGATATACATATTTATAACAGACTTTAAATATTATGATATTTTCTTTCATGGATGTTATGTAATTATTTTACTATTTCCATAAATACAGTTTTCTTTCTTTTTTTTTTATCGACTCAAAACCTTAAAACCCATCTAAATGCAGATACTATAGTTATCATCAATTCTGTATGATTCTGTATAAAATACCTATGCATATCAAAATAAACTAAATTCGTGAAATATTATTAAGCCTGATAAAAATCGATAACTTATATCAATATTTAAAGGGAAATTGTTTTCTACAAAAATTTTTTTTATTTTATTTGATTTAATACACAGCAAATAAAGTATATAGTTTAAGCATATTCTCATAATAAAATTCATTGATATATATTGTATATTATATATTGTATGATAATTGTTATGTAACGAACTATAAATTTGAAAAAATTGTCTATACCCTACATATTGAGAAACTCAAATACTTAAATTAAATTTATGAAAGATAAAAGAAATAATGAAATGTGTAAGGAAATATTCAAATACATGTTATTTATTTTTAAGTTAATTTATACAATACCATGTATTAGAATGTGAATTAAAAATATTTTTTTACATAAATTGTTAATCTAATTAAACATAATAATCAGTGTAAACATCCTTTATAAAGTAACTCGTTTCCTTATTTCTGTACAACTTAATATTTACTGTATTAATAATGAAAAAATTAAATAAAATCTGTTGGTATTAAACAATTAATAAAAAAAAAATAAATATTAATTAATGTATATATATATATATATATATATATATATAGAACATAAACGTTAGTGATTTATTACGTTCAATAGTACATAGTCTATATTAGTATTTAAGTTTAATAAATATTTTGTTTGGGGATATTTTTGTTTACAGGAGAACATCCTGCAGCAATGCAAAAAGGATCTAAGCTCAGTTTGAAAACTTCACTATCATTTATTAGCGTTTGCTTGGTGCTGTTCGTTAGCACGTGATTTCAACTGTTATATTAAAATATAATTAACTGTAAAATACTACAATTTGAAAACATTTAAAACTTAATAAGTTTTTTTAAGTAATTTTTATTGCTATATTATGTTCTATTCATACGTGAATATTTCTATATTTTTTTTCAGCCATACAAAAACCAGGAACTTTGTTACTTTACCGGACACCTTTTTTTTTCGAAAACCTATCTATGTCGACATTTTAAAAATGGTGGTGAAAAAAATTGTCGGAAAGCATTACTTTTTAATTTATTCAATTTTGATAATTACGAATTTTCAATGATATTGTATAGATACGCTTAAATAGATAATATTTTAACTTTAATGAAACTATCTATCTAAAATTAAATTCCTAGTAGTGAAATGGTTAATGACTATTAACCAGAAGCAGAAGAGCCCTGGTTCTGATCTCTTATCATAACGAAAGTTGTTAGCATTATTTTTTTCGAAAAATCGGAACTTTCATTTTAAACATTTTAGGACTTTACTCGTTACATCTGCCGGCCCCACTCATAAACTCTAGTGCCACTGCGTGGCATTTTTCGGTGGAAAGGAGCTTTGCCCCATTGGGAATTATAGTCTAAGACTAACCTAGTAATTGTAAAAACCTTAATACTGATGCAGATGAGATTATGCTTTGTATGTGAATCTAAAAGCTCGCTGCGTGAGTAAATCACATATCTGGATAAAATCATAAATTAAATATGGTAAAACAGATAAGAATTAGTATTATAATATTACGTACTTATCACTACATTATGGCTAATTTCAAACAACTGTAATTTTGGAACTAAGTCCAACCGCCAAATTCTGATTTCACCATCGTTTTCAGCACATGAATTTCAAAAATAATAATAAAAAAAAAAGGTGTCCGGTAAAGTAACAATTTACCAAAAACTGTGTACTCTATGCCTTGTTTGTATTGCAAAAATATTGATATTTAAAATAAATGTCCACCAAATTATATTATAGGCATAATAAATAGAAACCGATATTGTTTTTAACATATTTACATTTTATTTTCACTGTGTTCCTATTTATATAGAAAAACTATTAAGAATAATTATTTTACTTTTAAAACGCAGAATTTCGTCTTCCAAAATTAGTTTTACCTTATTGTTCGTATTATTTATATATCATGCAAAAATATTGGTGCCAATGGTAATGTATAAGTACTAAATTAAACATTAAAATACGTGCCACAATTGGGTTTTTAAATAATGAAGAAAACAGAATTGGTATTAACAAGATCCATATCATGTTGATATTTGGCTAATTATATTTAAACCTAACGGCGATATTGTGGTTCAAAAGACTTTCTTTTTTTTTATTATTCTTATTCTTCATTGCAGTAAATATTTATAAATATTTTAATTAATATCCATAAAATATAAACAATGGTTAGGTTATAGAAAAGGAAAATGTAATTTATCAACTAATAAACGCATTGTTATGGAATCGTGTACGATAACTGTTGTAAGTTTATAATAAAGCAGTATATAAAATAAATTATAAATTAACAAAATAATATATTTTCAATAGCATTATGACCAAGATTTTAAAATTAATATATCAATAATCATCGTCAATCAATTAGGAAACTACAAAATTTCGTCTGTAACAGGGAAAACAAATGTATGACACATGTGTCCGAAATGGCATACAAAAACATTTCGCGGGCTCACAAAAAACTAAAATTTTTATTTTGCCTTTATATCTTTAATAATAAACAACAACATCAATATTTTAGCACTTTTTTGCTATTGTTGATGTCTTTCAGAAAATTAAATTTTAAATTTCTTAAGAACGTAGATAACATGCTAAACGTAACATGACATGATTTAGGTAGTAGCATAAACAATTTATTTTTTCTTTAACATTCATGTGAGTCTCTATTTTCAAAAATTAATTTTATAAACTTTGATTTAATAAATTAACTAATGAATGAAGTGTCACATATACTTTATTAGATTATAAATTAATATGATATTAATTATAAACCAAATATCAACAAATTGGCAATTCAATATAAAAAAATCACATTAAGATGATAAATAATTATCAAAGTAATGTAATAGTATATTTATATAAATATTAAATTTTTATATTGATACTTCAATAATAAATGTTTTCTTATAATATTTAATAGCACACTCGAAAAAAAAAAAAAAAAGAAATTTAATTTTTGGCACGTAGCGTCAAAATAATTTGCCACCCCTGGTCTATTCCTTGTAACTTTATATAATTACGTATACAAATAAATCTCGGTGTAAATTCAAGTTTACCAACGAAGATCTTAAATTCCCACTAATATAATAATGTTAATATTAAATTTATTTATAGATTTCCTTGTATTTAATTATTTTATAATAAAGTAAGTCATGTAATATACATATATAAATATGAAACCAATTAATTCATTCTTGAAGTATAATAATACATTTATATTATTCAGAAATAAATACTTTATATTATATTTAACTCTTGTTTGATTAAGAAACTCAAACGATAGTTTCTTGTAGACTTATACAAATATAATAGGTAGGAATATAAGAAATGTGTTTGTAAATAGATGGAATATAAAATTTATTTCATACATTACGAGTCTTAAAAATGTTAGATATGTATAAATGAAATAAGACAATTATGCATTTTGAATATTAATGATAATAAAACCAAACAATTCACAGTGATCAATAGTTACTTTATAGTGCCTGTGCCACAAACAAATAACGCGTTACACTTGATTATTTTACTTTATAAATATTATTAACAACTAATGTTATTAAATAATAAATATACCATTGTTGTATTTTATGTTTAATACATGTAGATTAAAAGCGATAAAAAATTGAAAACAAATTAAATAAAACTTATCTAAGACTTGAAGAATCAAGTATACATTGCAAAGCTACACTTCCAATATTTTAAATATATATATGCAACACAACTTAATTTTGTTTTATGTTATACTTGTATTTATTTGTATAATGATTATATAAATTGTATTATATAAAATATATATAATACTATAAAATGTATGTTGATTATGCTTCATGAAGTTATTTAAATTTTGTATAGTAAATAAATAAAATATATATTTATTTATGTATGTACTTATATAATACAGTTAAGAAAATATGATCAAATACAACATTTGATCATCTATTTATAAATAATTTAATTGAAATTAAGCCCAAACAACATAATTATTAAGAAAATATGAAATTTAAGTCATGTTATATTTTTTTTATTTATTTATTTATTTATTTATTTTTTTTTTTTTTTGACACTAAATTATATGAAACATTAGATACAAGTAAATTTTCATAAGTTATTTTTATTTTTGTAAATTTATTGTACTATACGCGTTTATAATGAGATTAATGAAATATTTGTAGAGTTAAAAATATGTGTTTATTATTTATTTTATTCTTGTTATGTACACAATTTCATGCATATTTTATGATCATGAAACATGTATAGGTAACATTTAATATTTTGTTAAGTTTTTCTTATTTTAATCTTTTCTTTTTTATATATATATTACATAAATATAAATACATATAAATATCTATTTGTATAAGTAATTGTTACATACCTAATTAATCGTAATTTGATGTTCATTAAATGTTATTTTATTCTGCATTGAAATTAATGGTTTTCTTTTAATAAAATTTTATAATATTAATGTCACTGTTAACAGAAAAAAAAAGTTATTAGTGTTAAAAAAATAAAAATAAAAACTAATAAATCCCAATTTACTATCCGATAATGTCCAATCCTGCTGTTTTAATCTACAGTCTGATTAAATTTAAACATTGTAAATTATAATAAAATTTAAATTTAAATTATTTTCTACTTTTAAAACCTTCGAATTAATATTTTTTCAATTTAATCATATTTTAATGCAATTTAGGCGATTTCAATCTTACCTAAAATTTATTTTGATATTCTGTGTTCATAGTTCATATTAAATATGATATTTATTATATAAGCTAATTTTTTGAATAATACAATATATTAATAAATTATTTACATAAAATAAAATATTATTTTTAGAATATTTTTTTAATTCTGATAAAATATTGTCCAACGGATATAATTCATAGAATAGTCTTAATACTTATCTATCAATAAAATCTAAATTATTTAAATTATTTCACCTAAATTTAAAATCATATGATTAAATAAATATTCTTATTATTATTTAATTTACCAAGAAAAATAAATTATAACAAGTATAATGACAAAAACAAACCAGTTGGTTTATAAAGAGTACCATCCTGCAGTGTATATACATATATTATTATAAGTTACTAAGAATATTTAACATACTAGTTTCCATGGAAGTACAATAAATGTTATCAAACATTTCAAGATATTCAATGATATACAAAATATTTTCTATTACATTAATATAATTAAGAATCAAAAATAATTAATTTAGTTGGTGTATGTAGTACAATCAATCCAATCTATTATTCGTTCCAAAAGCTTATATTAAAAAAAATACATAGATTTAATATCAACACATGAATAAAATTCGACAAATAATAATACATGTTAAAATTATTTATATAACTTTATTAGTATTCGAACTATTTCCTAAATTATAAATTTATATTGCAAGTAACTATAATTAATAATATAGAAGACGCCGGTAGTTCATTTCATACGTATTTAGAACTCCAAAATAATAAATTATAACCCTTTATTAACTCGTAATTTAATATATCGATATATACGTTTCTTTTGTTTTCTCTATCCCGCATGGATTGGGATTTTGCAAATAAAAATTCAACTTGACCACATAATTTGTTTGAATCACCCTACTCATAATAAAAAGTATCAGTATTTTTTCTTTTTTTTCGTCGCGCGGATACTATTAATTCTATGGTTAAGATATTAGGCTGTCTTGGCAAAAAGAGTTGACGGTTTAAAAACTCTTAGCTGACAGGGGCTTAGGCCGTCGACTACACTGTCAGCGTGATGAATTGAAGTGTTTTCTATTGCTCCGAAGCCTGTTTCCAACACACTAGTAGATTCACTATAACCTCCAGCTCACCCTGGTTGCATGCAATTTATCATACTTTATTTTTATTATTACTTTCTGACCCCCTGTATCTTTATTCTCTCAAAGAATTTTTTTTCATCGAAATGGCATACATTTTTTTTTCTCTCCGACGATTTCCAAAACCACTGTGTACATTTTATCCGTCGACCTCTAATTCATTTAACTATACATCATTTATTAGGTAACAAGAGCTTATAAACACAATTTACGAGTAGTTCTGTTTTAGTAATTAATACTTTGAACGTGTGCAATTATAATAGATTTAGTGTTCAATAGGTTTTTTTAATTCTATAAGCTTTTCACGATTCACATTATCGGCCCAAAACCCACAGTTAATAAAATAACTCACGTACTGGAATGGGGACCCTACTGGCCAGTTTCAATTAGACCACTCCTCCGATCGTTGTTATATATTTCTCTGATATATGATCTCTATCATCAACAGAGACGTATTTAAAGTTTTGATGCCTCAGGTATAGTTTTATTGCCACCCCTACACGTATACGTATAAGATTTTCAAGAAAGGTAATATTTATTATCTACGAATTTTACGCGATCAACTTTTGATAATATTATCATGAAAATTAAAATTGCCTAACCTAACCTAACCTAACTATGTGGTCACTGCGCAAAATCTTAAAACATTAAAATTTTTCGATTGACGAATGAAAATAGATGATGGTTAGGAAAAAATGCTGCCAACCTTTGATTCCAAAAAAATGTGCCACTCGGGGTGATTTTACCCACTCACCCTCCCCCACCCTAAAAAACGTCGCTGATCATCAATATAATTGTATCTACAATCCGTTCGGTTATCGAGTAATAATATTGTAAATATTATAGTAAATTGAATTGAACACTCATAACACATATAAAAAACTTCTGAACGAACTTTAAACTAAGAACATTTATATAAAAATGCTT